CTCCCTGTATTGTGGCAACCCTTATCGCCAGCTAGGACGAGGCGCCCGATGTCATTAGCGGAGCTCATAGCGTTGTGTACTTTCGTACATGGCGGTCGTCATTGTATTCAGTATTAATAAATGTTTAACGGATAAACATTTTTTAGTTCTGAATTTAAAAATTCCATTAAAGAATTCTCAAAGTACAGTCAAAGAGTGTCTAAAGTTTCGAAATAGTCGAAAAGTGTAGTAAAGGAATTGTTGAGAAAAGTAATGCCGAGAAGTTGGGTTTAAGCCCGCATACAGCGAGAAGAGTCGTCGTGGCAGAGCAGCAGCATGTCCAATAACGATATAAAAAAGAGGAGCCGGCGAGCAAAGACCATCGGACAATCCTCTCATCGACGTGTTTAGGCTCAGGTTAGTGGGTAATACTTATGTCAATATAATGCATTAGTAATGTACCTACATCTATGAATAACGTAATAAGCTCTAACAGAACGCTTACATAAAAAAAAAAAATTGTTATATTTCAATTTACCTACCCAGTAGGTAATTAGTACGTCACTATGTCTTTGATACCATAGGTCATTACTAAAGTAATGAATATGTTAGTTGTCCAGATTTTTTCATTAAAAATTAACTGACTAAAATGAAAACAAATCGTACGTCATCACTGTACAATTTATCTATCATACAGTCAAATGTAAATTATGATCTTAATTACGACTGACTTGTTTCAAAGAATGTTTTGCAGTCTGGCTTATACAATATTTTAATGGTTATACAACACCCCGGAAAAATGAAAGTACCTACGGAAAAAAAAAAAATCCGAATCATATTGGACTGTGAGTCACTGGTTCTTATGTTGACTGAACAATTATAATTAAATGTTTTCATTCTAAATGCAAACGTACAGAAACAAGAGTACCTATTTGTCTGTAATGTATATGAGGTCGCGTCACACCGACTTTGCCGAATATCACCTTCAAATTTTAATATACAAGACGAGCTGTCTTCCATTCGAGCTGGTTTCAACATCTGGCCTATACTTTTCCGTAACACGTTTGGTCGCGGAGACCCTGCGTGGGCATGTATGTCGTGCTAGTCCGCCTAGACTTAGACGGCCTCCTTATGGTCCATAGACCTATACAAGTTATGTCTCAGACCGCGGAGGTCGTGAGGCACTTGTACCATCTTAACTGACCTACCAACAGTTTCAAGTCTGCTGACATCAACTAAAGACTAAGCCACTAAGAGTATGCAATGATGGGCCAAATGGGTAAGCCAGTGGTAAAAGAACAGTTGAATGAATCCATAAAAACATGTAAGTGCTTTTACGTGTTCCATCGACGTGTTGCCTGAGGTTAATTAAATCTTGCCAAATATGCCCGTGGTGCACTGTTCGTTTACTACTGACAAAATACTACTATTCAGTCCCGTGCATGACTAATTATTAGAAGACAATGCGAGCAGCGGTAATAATTTATTCAATGCATTTGTCAGAAAAAGAGGTGGGGGCGAAAAGTCACAATACACATCACTCATGCACATGAAGGTGTCGCCTATTGCCCAGCGACAAACACTAGGGCTTGGGTTGATTTTACCTAAACCTCATATGTTCTACTTCATAGTGATAACAAATCCCTGATCCAATTTTTAACAATAGTGTTGGGTATATGATAATGCGTCGTCGTCTTTCTTACGCTCGCAGATTTTAAAGGCGTCAATTAACGCATCTTTTGCAAAGTTTCCAAGAAACGAACAAGTTGAAACAAGTTTGGACTTACAACACGACAACAGTAACGGATATAGTACTGGTCCCAAGTTAATAAT